CAAGAACAAGGAACCCAGTGATATTTTCGTGATAATCACATCACATGATTAAGTGTTCGGCCTAAGTTAGGGTTAGTGTTAGGGTTAGGCATGTGATGTGGTAATCACTGGGTTCCGTGTTGTCCCATTTTTGATATAAGGTAGATATGAGTATTATGGTGCAGTTAAGTATTTTAGCTAATAATACATGATATAACAATCAGAATTGAATAATTTTGGTACTATTCGATTTGTCTCATCAAGATGAATCGAATGGTACCAATTTTGATCAACAGATTATGAAATATAGTTAATTAAAAAATACAAATAAAAAAAGACAAACTAGAGTGTAGGTACCAATTATGGCACATATACTATATTTCATGATCTATTGATTAGAATCGAAGAATTTTGATGTATCTTATTGAGATAAATCAAATGGTACCAAATTATGTAATTTTGATCAATAATTTTTGTAATAATATTATAATTTAACTAAAATAAACTACACAAAGCAGGTTTTAAAATTAATATAAAATAATAAATCATTAATAATTTAACCACCATACTAATTGCTTTGAAGAGATAATTCCAATAAGACCAAAATCACTAAAATTTAATTATTGAATTACTAAAGTTTTTGTATTGTTTTTAATAAAATTAGATTAGTTAAACTAATTTATTTTAGTTAAAATAATAATCAAACTAATTTTATAATTATTAAACAAGCAATTTGGCCGCTCTACATATACTATTAAAATAAGAAATTTGGCCACTTTACATATACTATAAAATAGCCACCATAATATATTACATATTAGAGCAAGCAATTTGATATAAACTGGTAACTTTGACTATTTTGTTGACTATCTGGGCTATTTATTTATACATCTCAAGATAATTCGCACTCTTTTGGTTTCATATATGGCTAAATTAAAACATTGTTCATAACATGTACTAGACTAACTTTGTGAAATGATTCTTCAGTATTTAAATAATTTTTTACTAAATTTGAACACAGTTTAATATTCCTGTTACTGATAATTCAGTAATTAGCAGCTTCGCACATATAATATTTATATTTATTGTGTAAATATTTCAAAGAGATCAAAAAAAAAAAGACAAGCATTCAAAATAATTGATAATATAATAGAGTGCAAGCATCTAAAGACATCCAAAATTACTGCTTTCAATATATATAAATTTGCAAAAAAAAACCCCCTGTAATTTTGTAAATTTTTCCTGTAGCTATTAAGTTACAGATTTTTTTTTTTTTTTTTTGCAAATTTGTGTATATTCGTTGAGCAGTAGCAATTTGAAAATAGCAAAAAAAGAATCAACTAATCAGATTCAATTGAATTTAAAACTGAATCAGGAATTTGGCAGTATGAATGATATTTTTTAACAGCAAATTTAGCTGCTTTACCCTTTAAACCTTTTTGATATGCATTCATATAGTAAAATATCTTCCTTGCATATTGGTGAATAGTTAGAAGCAAGATGGAATGGAATCAAGTGATAATAGAACAGTTCTTTGCAATTCTTTCCATGAATAATCACAATGTGACTGGCTATGTCTCTTGGCTACACCCCAAAAGTTCTCAATATAATTGAGCTCACAATGAAATTTGGGATAAAATACAATTTGGTGCCTAGCCACAATAATAATTTCTTCTTCCAACTATCCTTTTTGTGCCAAAAAGTTTAGTTGTTGACTTATTAATTCTCATACTTCTTTTAATTTTAATTCTTTTTCTGACCACAATCCTCTCCCTCTTAGAACTTCTCTTAATCCTTTAGCTTCTCTACGCAATTCAAGAGTATAATAATCTGATGAAAAAATCATATCCTGGTCATGTCTTATTCCCTTACAAAAATATAATATGCTATGCAGTATCTTCTGTTTTCTAGCAGGACCAAGGTTCATATGGTTGGCAATAAGTGCATCAAGTGAAAAAATAGCATAGCTTGTTGCATTGTTAAATACGAACAAGGCTTGGCATTCTGGAAAACATGCTTCAAATATGGAAATAGCATAGTTAATTACCTGGTTTATCATGTCCTTAGACTTCTACTATCCATCACCATTTTTGCCAGGGTATATAATAACACAGGCTTCTCTAGAAAGCTGATCTGATAGTTGTATTTTATTATGAAGCACAAGTCGATCACAAATATTAGTTAAAAATTTGCTAATATGAATTGAACAGCCCTAACCTTTTTTTTGTAAAGGTTGTTCACCATTAGGAATCCAAAGGCTTTGACTTCTATTATTAGCAGAAAAGATACATTCATCATGTGTAACAAGAATAAAGGGTTGTATATTGCTGTCTGGCCAAGTTTTTACTTCCATGTTATCTCCTGAAAATATATATATTCTATACTTGAGTTCACTCATTCATTGCAAAAATATCTCCTGATAAGCTACTATATCTTCTCTCTTATATTCATCTATATAAACACCTTTTTTTACTCTTTCATAGATGTACCCAAGCTCCTTTAAATAATTTTTAACAGTATTAAGAAAAATGGTTGGAGGTGATACAAATCTGAGCTCTGGTAAAATAATTTCATTCATTTGCAACATGATCATATATAGTGTTATATTCTACTTATTTTCTTGAATATATGATTTTATTTGAAGAAAAATATCTTAATCCCAGAGAAAGCTTCATGTTTTAGCATAATGTCTATGATGAGAATAAGGAATCTAATATGTCATAATGTACTCATATGCCCAAGAATGAATGCACCTAGCATGATACACCTCTTTTCTTGCTGCATCTGCGATGATTTTACTTGCTTTCATTTTTTGATGATTATTTTTAACAAGCTGAAGATAAAAACGAATACTGCTAAGATGAACCCAAATCTTGCTATTTACATTTTCTTTTTTGATGTCTAATGCTAGATTTTCAAAAGCAGCTGGAATTTTTTTATATAAATTACAAAGTTCAATCTCATTCTCTAACAATCCTCCAATATCTTCCTTGTCCTCATCGACTTCCTCCAGCTGATCTTCATTCTCTGACTATTCATCATACAATTCTACTTTGCTAGCTTGTAATTTTTCTTGGTTTCAAAAGGTATGTAGTGGAAGGGTTCCTTTTGCTACCTCATGTTGTTACTGTCTTTTTCTTCTTTTAGTATGGACTAAGTTTTTTAAATAATGTAATCTACAAGTTTGATTAGAATTATATTTCTGGTAATATTTATTTACTGCATCTTGAAGTTTTTTTATAATGTTTTCAGTATTATCATTTTTAATTGGCTCATTATGAGCAGAAAGATTGTCATCATTATTATAATATTCAGTGTTATCACTGTTATGATTATATTGTTGAGCTGTGTTTGCAATATTATTATCCTCAATCACCTCATCACAAACAGAAAGATTGCCAATACCATCAAAGTTTTCTGCTTCTGAATTATTAGCATTATGCTTATGAGCTTTTGCTTCATAAGCCTTTCTGGCTTTTTTTTGGCAGCTTGTTAGATGTGGCATATTAAATTGTTATTAACAAAACATAAATTTATTATTTAAAACAGCTTTTACACTTTATAATTTCTTTGTCTTAGAGAAATATGTAAAGTTATTTCTAAGCAGATTTTTTATTTTCTATTTTATATTTTTGGATACATTATTAAAAAAAAAAATTCTATTTGATATCTTTTTATCGATTTTATCTATTAGGCATACTGTAAATTTTTTTATTATTCTAAATATTTAATTCTTACCATTCTCCTTTTTTTCTCATAAATTTGAAGCTACTTCTAAAATTTAGTATACATCTTTTACATGCATATTAACAGTTATGCCAAGCTCTCCCTTTAGATAGTTTTAATTACTTTACTTTTAAGGTTAGAATTCTAAATACATCAGTAACCACTAGAAGTTATAATTTGTCCAACAGTATATGATTTTGAATTGATTTAAGAGTTCATGATTTAAATAAACTGATAAAAGCAAATAGATATCAATCTTGGTACTTATGATGGCAAACATTTAAATATTTAGTTTTAGGAATATAATAAAATTTTAACAGTACTCTCCTGAATGCTCCCTTGTACCAAACTACCAACTTCCTCCTTCTAACTATTATAGCTACAACACTGGTCACTTTTACAAACACTCCAAGCCATAGCTCATTACTCTCATCAATAACCAAATAGTTATTGGAAAAGCCCATCACTAGTCAAATAACTCTGGTTATACCTTAATAAACTACTAGCAATGCAATATAACAAATTACTAATCTCAACCATACCTATTGCTCCCCAAACTATAGCTCCATGCTTCAATTGTTCTCTAAACTCAAATATTATTGCCAACAAGTATACTGTTCTTATTCCTACTAGCCATGCTATGAAATTCTTTGGCAGATTCAATCCTGACAAAACACTTAACTTTTATGCCAACTATCTTGATCTTCTACATTCAATTCTGTTCTCAAACCCAAGCACTCCCACACTTTACCCTAGTATCAATATTTCTGCTACTTAAATCTCTCCTGTTTTTGATTCTGATCCTGCCTTTGATATACTGCAGGCAATAGCTACTCAAAATAGTAACCAGAATAACTTTACCTTTTACACTGATGGCTCTGTTCAAAACTTAGACAACTCTCAATGCTCCATGGATATTGGGTCGTTATAACTTAATAACAATATATTACAATACACTTTTCAAGCTCAAATTGAATTTTTGGCCTTGCTCCTTTAAAGCCAAACTTCTAGCAATCCTGTTAGCCATCTCTATAGTCCCAAGAAATTCTGCTATTAGTATTTACACTAACTCCCAATTTGTCATTTCTAAATATAATAGCCTTTCACATTCTAATGCAGCTTCAAATACTTCATACTGGTCTGTGTGGAATATACTTCTAAAACTCTCCTCTTCTCAAAACTTTCTATTATTTTTTACAAAGTTTCAGCATATCAGAATAATGAACTTAATAACAAGGCTGATAAATTAGCTCATAATCACTCTGAGTCACCACTTCTTACCTTCAATCCTCACAATATATACAACTCTTTAGTTATTCCTATCTTCAACAACTATCTACTCGAACTTTCTATCTAGCAAAGTATTCGAACTATTTGCAATGCAAATATTCTTGCATGATAGTCATCCCAATATCGTATACAATAATGGTCTCTCTTCTTCTCTGATATCCACTAGAATACCACCTAGCTTTATCTTAATAACAACCAAAAAGTTTCAAACTATACACATAGCTTCTAATCCTCTACTCTTAAAACATTTAGAGTCAAGCTATTGCTCGATGACCTCCCATTACCACATATTCTCCACCAAAGATATCACTCTTATTCAAACTCCTGCCATATCTGCCAACAACCTATCTATGCACTCTATTGGGCTACTTGCCCCTCTCCAGAGCCACTACTAACTTTACTTAATGCTTCTCTACAACACATCTTGACCTCTTGTAAACTTCAAATTTTACATACTCAAACACAACACCTTTTGAACCAAATCAAAAATTTTGACAGTTTACAAATACACTTTTTCAGTTTTAAACCATTGCTATTCTCCACAATTTCAGGCCTTGTTTTACTTGATATTATAAATATACTACAAGAATATACTTCCTCTAAAAGTATTACCTGTTCTCTTACTATTCAACTTCTTCTCTATTTAAACCAACAAATTTATTCTAATATCTGGATTTCTTACTGTATCTCAATATCACAGTTTAACCCCACTTTAAATAATAACACTAATATCATCTTTGTAGATAATATCTCATCTAGTTATAGTCTTACCTCTCTATCTATTAATACCTCTAACTCTACTGTATTTAACTCTTTTCGTAAAGTAGAAATTTGTTATACAGTCAGACCTCTCTAAGTGCATGCCCTTGGGACCACACTTTAATAACGTGCATATAGAGAATAATAAGAAAAGATGCATTTATGGAGGTCAAGTATATATATGGGCCGGCACTTGAGTGTGCATTTAGAGAGGGTGTGCACTTATATATAGAGTGTGCACTTAGAGAGGTCTAACTGTACTAACTGGATCAAATTCTCATCACACCCCTCCTATATTCTTATCTATCCCCAAATCTAGGTAAGCCTTGGCCACTCTGGTAGGTTTAGGCCACAAATAAGTATTTAGGTTTACTTAGATATATGTCTGAATTCTTTTTCTTAGCCTTAGATTTAAGTAATAAACCATTTTCCAAACATGTAAAAAGTTTTTGTTAAATCTAATAAAGATAAGAGCAAGGTCTTACCTTTAACAATAAAAAAAAAAAAATTTTAACAGTTAACAAGATATTATTTATATAAGATAAGGAAATTTTGATTTTTAATTTTTTAAGAAAAGTTATTTTGTATACTGCTCTGTTATTAATAGTTATAGCAAGATGCCTAATCACATTAGATGCATTAGATAATCTACATATCAATACTGCAAAATTTATAAATATTCTAATTTAAGAATATTCATTCTCACAACATTATTATTACCATTCAACTACCATATAGCCACATTTCACATGTAAAAATATTATAAAGAAAAAATGATCTGTATTTTAAAATTTAAAAGTATAAATTGATTAATTGGAACAATCAATAGATATATATAGTTAGTTTTATCGAAATTAACTTAGTTTTTACAGACAAGGCAAGTAATAGTTTTTTTTTTGTTTGTAAAAGTCATCATCATTATTTGGCATATGATCTAATTTGTTTACTGCATTAATGTCATTGATAAAAATAATAAATTATTATTTCTAGTTCGAGGTTTTCTCTTGGCGACACCTATACATATATATCTATTTTATACAAATTGACCTTTATAGAAGTAAAAAGTTTAAGTTTTATCTAATAAAGAGCAATAAAGTGATTTACCTATATTTGATTTATTTTGTTGAAATTAGATTGATATTTCAAATTTGGTCTTAACTACAATATCTAATTTGGCCATGTCACATGATTATATAACAGATGTACAGGTTACCCCCGATAATATCAACCTATATTAATATCAACCTAAGCCACAAATCAAGTTTTTACAAATTTTTATATATCAAAATTCCCTCGTATATATTAACTTTAATATGAATTTTCGTTAATATCACTATCAATATAATTTTAAACAGGTTCAAATGGGTTAATATTAATGAGGGTAACCTGTATTAAATTTAGCTGTATTAAATAAGATTTTAAATTTGCTTGCTAAAAATTTTATTTGTTAGAACTAGGTTGTCTATGCTGTAGTAAAAACTTTATTATAATAAATCTTATATTAATCTAAAAATTAATGGTCTTCTTGTTATTAAAAAGACTTGGATAAGAAGACAGATAAGTTAATTGACCAGGCTGCCAAATTTTTTCAACTCAGTGCTAGCTAATAAAAAGAAGATATAGTTTTAGAAAAAAATTTCTATAGTAAAGATTTCTAACTATACTTGTGCTACAGAGTACTCAATATGATATTACACTTTTTATTTCCTATTTAATACTATTATTAATTTAAATGAATAAAGTAATTCTAGTTAGAAGGATGTGGCGATTTAGTGAAGTGGTGAAGTTGTCACATCCCCAAACGGCAGGTCTAGAGTTCAAATCCCACGGACAACAATTTTGAAAAAAAACTAGATCTGTATCGGTTAACGTTAAGATTATTAGTTAGATCCAGATATCTGTAATCTTGGTCACACCATCTTGAATGGGAGCTTCAGTGTAATAAATCTAGAAAACCGGAATTATCGAAAACCCATTTGGCAAGTCCCGAGTTAGGAGTAGCAGCGATCTTTGACGGTGCTACAGGAAGACTAAATTTGGAACTGGAAACTGAGACTGGAGAACCAAGCGACCAGGTCTTTAAGAAGGGGGGACACACTAGCTAAACCGCCA